GAGAGAGAGAGAGAGAGAGGGATCATTGCTTCGAAGACGCGCGCGATATCCGTAAAGAGAGAAGAGAGAATTCGTGGCGGAGTTTCGGGAAAGAGGGGAATCCTGATCGATCGCGATCGAAAGCGGGAAAGCGTGACTTCAACGCCTAACGTCGTTACACGAGGCGAACGCGTGTGGCTGAAGAGCGGGAAGAGAGAGCCCTCGAGGTATATCGAGGCGATATCGCGAAGCCGGGGGATTCGCGGATATCACACTTGAATGGAGAACGCTTCCAAAGTGCCGATCGGCGCGGTGGATCGGTGAGAAGCGTCGAGATTCTTGCCAGATCGAGAGTCGCGTCTCCTCTACCGATCGATGAATGGAACAGCGGTGACGTGTTATCACGCGGCGAATACGAGAGCGACCACGAGGACAGCGGAAGGATAGATCGCCGATCGATCGTAAATCATCGTAAGGCAAGAGTGACCATCTGGATAACAACGTGTCCTCGTGTAGTCGACAGCACGAGGCGAAAGTTGTCGATCGTGAGCTTGAACCGGGCGTCAAACATACAGTTCGTATTATATTGGTGTACGATTTCTGAGTAGCAAACGAGGTCGCGGCGCGCATCGTCGTCGAACGATAGATCGGCCGGAGGACCCGCTACCGATCTCTCGGGAGAGAGGTTCGGAGGAAAGAAGAGGAGAGGAGAGCGCGCGAGACACATACGCACGGGGGTCTCTCCGCTGCCGCTCTCGCGGCCCACGGCGACGCGTTTAGGCGCCAATGACGTCACCGGGCGAGTGATACCGCCGCTGGGGGAATTCGCGGTCGGAATTTCTCGCCGCACGCGCGGTGCGTTTACGCGTCTCCGACGCGACGAGACGCGACACGACGCTCGGCAGCTGCCGCGATCGCGATGGTAGCAGCGGTAGTGGTAGTGGTGACCGCGCGGTAGTAGCAGCGTGGCGGTGGTGGTGGTGGTGGTGATTGGTGGTGGTGGTGATGGTTGTCGTGGTGTGTGCTCGGCCGTCGTGTGGATGTTTGCTCCTCGCCGTCACCGTCGTCGCCGTCGTGGTGCCGTGCCTCGCAAGGTGGGGGCAAGGATATCCCGTGGAATCGCGCTGCGCGGTGGCCAATTACACTTTTCTACGTATGCCGCTCGTCGGCGGGCAATGACTAACCGCGCGCGGCCGATTGCGTTAACGAGAGATATCATATCCGTCGACTCGGAGCTATACCGATCTCCCGAGCTGTCGCCCCGTTGTCGTTATCGTTGTCAGCGCCAGTCAGACGGGATTTGCATAGCAAACAGATTGACGCGCTCGTAGTAAGTGGATAACGAGAAGTCGCGCGCGTACACCGCGTATATAGCGCGACCGGATCGCACGCGGGTGTTAGTGTGCGCGATCCGTTCGCGGGTTAGTGTGTGAATATCGCTCGGTGCGTGCGTTCGTATACGACTGGCTCGCGGTGCCAGTGGGAGGAAAGAGAGTGAGAGAGAGAGGGAGAGACAGAGGATACGGCGGACGCGAGGCAAGTGCGGAGCTTAAAATAGAAGAGTGACTTCGGTTTAAGTACGTGGCGGGAGGGACGGAGCGAGTAAAGCAAATCGAGCAGAGGAGAGAGAAGAGTGGATGTTTTGTGTGTGCTCACTTTTTCCCCACCTCCCGCGTTTCTGTGATACGTTCGAATTTTCTACATTTCCCCGTGGGTGGAAGAGAGAACAAACGGGGAGAGAACGACGAAAGAATAACACACACACGTACACGCGTGCATATAAATATTCGGCAGTGGAGTGCGTGTTCCTTCTGTGATAATTTCTATAGTGCGTATTGTAGTGAAACGCGCGAGAGAGGGTGACCGTGTTTCAAGTGCGCGCGCGCGCGCGCGCGCACGCACGTTCGACACTTTTTCCTCTCTTTTCGCCCGCGTCGTTGTGGAAAAAGTTAGAAAGAGGATCCTCGCCGATCCTCGGCGAGGCAGAGAGATCGCGCCTCCGAGTGAGCGAATCGCCCATCGGAAAGGAGGCGTCGGTCGGCTCGCTCTCTGTCCCACGCGATGGATCGTGACTCGCGTTCGTATTCCTGCGGAGGCTGCGAGAGGACCGCCGCCGAGGGCCGTGCTATGCCGATGGAGTAACAAGTGAGCGGCGAAGCGGCGTTGCCATGACGACAGGTGAACCATGAGTCTCCCTGCGATCCCTCCACTTCGTCCTTCTCTCTCTCTCTCTCTCTCT